GTTTGGATGCCTGGATTTTTAACCATTTATCGTATTTAAACTATTTTTGAAAGGTCGTTTCAATTGTTGATGGCAAGAGTTTGGGTCCATACGATTGCGGGGAATTCTGGATACACACACCTTTCCTAATGAAGAATTATCGCAACCGCCCTGATGTGAGTTTTGCATGTTTTAAACTTGACTAGATGTTCTCCAGAAAGATTAAATTGCTCTTCTTTTGGACAATGAAGTATGGAAAAGAACGACAGACACGGTAGTCGATCTGAAATTGTTTTCAACTCCGATTCGGGGATTTCAAACTTTAATTATAATTTATGGCACAACATTTCATGAATCCAGTTTTCCGTCTGTTAATTAGACGCTTTTCTATCATTTCGAATCCCTTCATCGTTTAATGCCTCAATAATTGCAGCTGACTTCAGCGGCAGTCACTCCAGACGGTTGGTATAAAACAGGAGATTATGGCTACTATGATGATCAAGAACGCTTTCACATAAAGGACAGGGTCAAGGACTTGATTTTGCTGCCGGATGGAAAAACACTGGTTGGTAAATTCACGAAATTTTTAAAACGACCGAGGATTTTTTAAATCGTTTTTTGTGTCTTGCGTATAATTGACTCCTAGGTGTCGCCTTCTACCATTGAGAATTTAGTGTTGCAACATGAGGCTGTGTTTCAAGTCGGCGTGTCCGGAATTCCTTCTACCTCTGGAACTGGAAATGTTCCTCGTGCTTTTGTTATTTTGAAGCAGCATGTTCAAGACTTGGTACCGGACGATATTGTGAAATTTGTTGAAGGTTAGTTGGAAGATTTGAATATGTTTCGCGCTCTGAACTCCAGTCATTTTTGGACCGAAATATTTCCTAGAATACAGTAATACTACTACCGATCAAAACTATTTCTTCAGGATAAATAGACCGGCATTGACTGATTTCCACTACGTTTAAAAATGTTGTCCAAATAATCTGTATTTCTTTAAATGATTTCCTATCGTATTCACGT